TACAGGAGCCTTGGGTCAGATTCCTGCCTCTGGAAACGCCTTAAAAATGTTAAGAGTTGAGCTAGCCACATCCTGGAAATCCCCCGATGGGAGGGAACCAGATGGGTTCAGACAAAAGTTCAGCGAGCAAGAAGGGCACAAGGCAGCTGGCGCAGAGGAGAGGTGAGCAGACCCTGGCGAGCAGGCTGGGGCCCCGCGGACACCGGGGGCCTGGTCCCGCCGGGCTGGGAGCAGGGGGCTGCAACCCCACCCAGGGCCCTTCCTCCCTCATCGCCCAGCACAGGGGAAGGAGATATGAGAATCCAGCACTCTACCCTGACCTCTGCCACAGCACAGCTTCCCATTTTTTCCTTCCCTCTTCTGAGTATTGATGTAAAAAAACAAAAGCCACCCACAAAGTCAAGATACCCTGTAGCACCGACTTCTGAAGGAGGGCTCTTCCTCTGCCTGTTCATCCTTCTGTTGTGCAGTGGATGACATTTATTACCTTTTCCATCTATTTCTAGCACAACTGGGAAGGCAAAGAGCAGACTGTTCTCCTCTACCCCCAAAACACACTGGTGGACCCCTCATTCCTCTTTGCAAGCACCTCCACTCAGCTGCTTTGCTTTCACACCAAGAGAGTTTTATCTACCCCAACCCACCCTCCTTGGTTCCCTTCACACTGCCTTGTGCTTTCAAGAAGGATGCAGCCACAGCGATCCCCTCCTGCTGACAGCAGGCACCCGGCTCGAGCAGGAAACACCACAGATGACAGCGAGAATGACTCGACCGCTGCTGGAGGGTGAAGGATGGCACGCTTGATTTAGAAGGAAACAGCGATGGATGGGCTCACCAGACTTGTTTCGCAGAGCTCACAGCCATTCAGCCAGCTCCTGTTGGCCCCGCTGGCCAACGCAAACAGCCTTGTGTTCTCTCAGCAGTTCTCCTTCTCTTTCCCATGGTTGTGCCCTGACACTTTTCAGGAGCCTTCTGCACCCCATTCTCCAGCTCAGCCTGGGAGCTCCCCCTTTCAAGGAGAACAGCAGCGATTCCTTACCCTGTCAGGGTAGGAAAAGCTGCTCAGAGAGGAGCCAGCCTCCTGCGGGGCTCGGCACGAGGCTTTACCAACTGCACAAGGCCAACAGGGTGAAGGCAGGGCAACCCCACTGAAGTTAGGGAAACTTTCAACAGGGTGCCTGTGTGTGACCTCCTTAATTCAGTAAGCCGACAAGAAGATCTAACCTATTTTAGAAGGATAAGAAGCACAATGCAAACGCACAGCAGTCATGACAGGTCCTCCCTGCCGATGCACCCCAAGGAAGCGGTAAGCCACAGGATGCATCTTGAATATTCCACAGTAACAGCACAGCGAGAGCCTGCCCGAGCGCAGCAGGCTGCAGCGTGTGGATAGGCGGCTCCTCTGACTCGGTGTCGACGATTGTGCGGGGGGAAAACATATTCAGCAGTGACAGTCCCAAAGAGCATTCCCCAGGTTTCCCAAGCTCCTGAGGAGCACAGGGAACGGGCCCACCGGGATGCGGGGCACACGAGGAAGCAGTACTTACGCTCAAACACAGAGGATGCTCCACGGGCAGGACGCGCAGGTTCACTCAAGCAAAAGCCTTGTGCGAGAGAATGAGAGAATTCAGAGAAGCAGCAGCTGGATTTCCACTGGGTTTTCTGGGTGGCATGGCAGCACGCACAGCAGCAGTTTGTGGGAATAATTTTGACCAGATTTGTGTTAGGGACTGACCCTCCCAAATTGCTCTGTGTGCCACCAGGACTGTCACTGCAATAGAAAAGTTAGCTTCATAACCAAACCAAGTCACCACCAGCTCTTCCCTCCCTGCTTATGGCAATGAACCTCTGTGCTTCTGCACCAATTCCTTTAGTTGTATCAGTCCAGCTTTGACAGAAATAAAAATAAACGCTACCCTCCCCCATCCTGCAAAACTAAAATAATCTATTAAGGTATTTTACTGGAAGAGCAGCCTTAAAATCCTGCAGCATTTTTCAACTACAGACCCCACTACCAACAGCAGAAAAGTCTTCACCTGGTTAAAAGATCTGATCGAGTCTATCACAGATCGCTAATGCCCTGCCCAGACCCTAGCCATCACACATGCAGAGCCGCACAAGCTTACTGTCACTCCAGATGCCAGCCCCAGGAGAGCTCCTCTCCCACAGCCCATAAATGACCTTTCAGACTGTCAGGTTCAGGTTTCAGATTTGTCTTTTGAAACAAAGCACTATCTCCAGGAGCACCTGCTTTCCTTGTTTTTTATTAACTAGGAATAGCCATTGCCCTGTATTAGTTTAAGAGCACAAGTTTGAATAAAGACCATTAAGTTATTTAACAGGTCAGATAAGAGCATGCTGTACTGCAGTACAGCAGGTGGGACGGGCATATTCTTATACAGAAATGCAAGCATTGATATTCCTACTGCATTTCCTTCCCAGTTCATAACAAAACTTTAGAGCAAAGTCTTGACATGTTACAGTTAGCATATTATCATACTCAGCATCTGGCACAGATGTGCTACGTAACTGGGTAAAACATGCATGTATTTCCAGACTGTACTGTGGAACTGGCCATTAAAACTGAAGCACAGCCCACACTACTTATTCCAAAATAATTAGGATCATGCTGTTTAGCACCTGAGACATCCAGTTCTCATACTGCAGTTCGAGCCACATGCCAGCACCCCGCTGCCTCATCACGCCTCGGCTGCCAGCGTGCCCCTCTGAGCCAGCCTCAGTAACGCCAAATGAACAGTAAACACTGGACACGCTATTATCTGCTATGGCAATTTGGAGCAATTTGGGTTTTTTTGACCCATCACACTGCATCAATTAACAAGCCTGTCAATATCCAGCCATCAGACTGTTGCTGCCATGAGAGTGTGTATGGAGATCTAAGACTGTCAGAGGAACGCCAGGGAGGAAGGACAATTTCTCTGACTTTCCTGGGAAGCCAGACGAAATGTTGAATGGTCTTCCAAAAAGCCACCAGAGACCAAAGAATTCAACTCAGCAGTTTTTATTTATATAACACACATTCTTACTTTGCCATGGCTTTCACATGGCTGCCTCCATTCAGTACATAAACTAAATACTGCATAATGATACAGAAAGTTCAGTAAAATGTCAGCTTGTGAGTATAAAATGTTAATCCTTCTGATTGCAAGAGAAGAAGCATATATCAGCATTCCGCCAGAAAAACAAAAAACACCACGCCAAGTAACAACACAATGGCTGAGTCAAGAATAGTACTAATTAAAAACAGCATCAAGCAGCAAGTTGCTGGACAATAACATTAAAAACCATTTTTCCTGTAATTTACAAATATGCAAAGTATCAGGTTACTTAAAATTAAGAAGCATTTTGCTTACTAACATGAAACATTACTAGTTCGTAATGTATCATAATTAACCAGGTATACAGGTTTCTGTGTCCCTGTGGGTTCTACGGCACATGGTGCCAGTCTGGGTAGGTCACGCCTTAGACAGTCAGAGGGAAGAACAGCAACAGACAAGACCCTTCCTGAAGAGGGTTCTCAGAAACAGCTGTATTCCACTCTCCCCTTCACAATTTGCCACTCCACAGCCTTGGTTTAACCACAAGATGGACATATTTAAAAAACATAACAAAAACCACAGATACAATGTGTATCAACAAATCAACTGCTTCTGGCCTGCAAGTGCAAGAAACATCTTTGCATTCTAAGCACAATGAAATTCCAGGACCAGAACCAATTACTACAGCAATTGGTTTTGCATATTTAAAATCTGTTACAGTATCTACAGTAAAAAACATCTTACAGAGTAAGAGAGAACGAAAGGGGAACAGTCTTACCAAATAAGTCTTATTCTATATTTTTGGATACTGCTATAGTTTGACGAAGCTGAAGGGGACAGGAAAGTATGAGTAAGAAGGAAGATGAAGCAACAGCTTTACAGAGAAAAATATTAAGGAATCCTCAGGAACAGTACTGGCAGCAGTCCAGACATGACTACAGCTGTTTTACTGAATGCTCAAAACTATTGCTGTCTGAAGACAAAAGGCACAACATCATAAATCCTCCTTGTCAGTGTTGCACAGAGATAGCCTAAGACAGGTTACCAGCCAAGGTTAATGTTCTAGAGCAGCATCAACAGCGTGGTCATCCACGTGTTCTGACAACTGCATTTTTCAGCAAATGCCAAACACACAACTCGCATGTAGCTTCGGAGCAGTGTCAGGCCTCTCATTCTGAGAAGGGGTTGCACTCCTAGCTCCTCTTATTTCGGGAAGCTGAGCCGCTTGCTAAGCACTTGTGGTACATACTGGAGAACTACCTTGTTTCAGGAAGGTAAGTTTAAGTGGGAGGGGTATAGAGAGCATCATTAGAGAAGTGCACCAATAAAACCAAATTAAAGTCAGCTAAACCTAGCTTCATACTAGATTTATAATCTCAACATTTTCCGCAGATTTTTGTAAAGAGGCTTAGCTAAGACCTAAGAACAGCCTTGACAATGCATTTCAGTCTTCACAAATATGCCTCACACCACTGCAAAAAACCAAAACACACACCACACCCCAAACCCCTTATCTTTCACAAGGCCCCCTGAGTCCTCCCCTCCCTATATAATGCACTAAGCCATCCCAAAACTGAAGCTAATGGGAGGAGTAAGGTCACATTCGGTTCTGAACAACTGCAGGAATTTAGGGTGTGCCTGACTCTCCATGCAACCCCAAAGGAAAAATCCTGAAGCTGCAGCCTCTTCTGGTCAGCACCCAGAGCTTCTTCAACATTCTCTGGGGCAGAGGGGACCCTAGGCTGCCTTTCCAAGAGCAGCACACTGTCACGTCTAAAGCAGGATTTGCTGTGAGCACACCACATCTGGTACGCAGCCTCCAGCTGGAGCCTGGTACTTCCAAGAAGAAGGAGGAGCCCTCAGAAGGCATCTACGGCAGCTACAGAGCGCAAACACTGCCCCTCAAGCCTTTCACATGCCTGGCTGCCCTCAGCATCTGCCTCATACACCTGGGTTCTGAGACTTGTACGTTAGTATCTCTGCAGCTAGCCTCTGGGGATCCAGAAGGCGAGGGAAACGGCTCATCACAGCATCAACTAAATGGGGATGGAATATGCCACACAGCTTGACATGCACATTGGCCCGCTCCTCTGCGAACTGGTCAGGGACAGCCCACTGGCAGGAGTCCCCATACGTCGGCCCTGGGGCCCTCTGCACTGAACGAGGATCTCGCACGCTGGTAGATCTCACTTGAGGAGGTGGCATCTGGTACGGTTCAGACCAGTACTCGCGAGAATGGGGTGGAGGGGCATCATACTCATTAGGCAGACTATATTGCCCAGCATTAGCTGGGTGTACAGGTACTCCATAGCCTGAGAAAGAGTGAGGCAGTCCCGAGTGAGACATCTCAGGACTATACTGCAAGAAGCTAGCACCAGAGGAAGAAGATTTATGGGAACCATGCTTGTAAGAGACCAGACCATTTTGCTCTAAGCTGGGAGAATGCGGGTAGACAGGTCTCTGACTACCGCAGGTGCAAACTGCCACCTGATCAGCATGGGAATGATCACAGTGACTGGTGGATCTGTAAGGCCACATGTCAGACAGTTGGTTCTCCAAAGACCCAATGCCTGAGTCGAGATGCTCCTGAGAGATGTAAGACAGAGAGTCCATATGAGGCTGCTGGTACCTGTCAGAGGACCTGTGGCTCCCACTGCTAGGAGGGACACTGCCTGACACAGAGCCTTTGACCTGAAGCGGAACATCACTGGGCTTGGCTTTGTGGGTCAAGCTTTTCCTCTCTGCAGAGACCTTCTGCAAAGAGCTTTTATCACACTCTGTGGACACAGAGCACAAGAGCTCTGCCTGGGAACCTCTTTTGCCCTTTTTCTCCTCCTTGGCACTGGCACTTCTGGTAGGAGACAACCTTGCATTGGCTCGGAGTTCATCAGCTAACGAGCGCTGGGGCTGATTGATCCGTTCAGGGTGGTAGAATTTACACTTAATTCCGTAAGTGCATTTCTTCCCTGCAAGGAAAGGCAGAGCATGGAATGACCAGCTGAATTTTACTAAATGCATGAATTACACTTGCACAGATACCTCAGCCTTCACGTTTAGAAGGCAGGTCTTACCGTAAGGGCACTGTTGTTTCTTGTGTTCTGGCACCACAGGTTTCTTTCTGAGAAAGTTATCCAGGCTGGGGCCATGTCGCCCTAAGGGATCATCTGGAGGCATAAACCTAAAGAAAAATAAATCTCAATCAGGAGCAGTTCACTTTCTTGGGTCAGGGTTTCATTTCTTCTAGAAGTCTCCCATTTCATTGAAGGTTAAAAGCCACCTGAGCCCTAAAAAGCTTCCACATTTCATTGCAGTGACATGTCACCTAGTAAAGACTGGCATGAAGTGCTTCCCTTCAGGCACGGAAGGGTTTTGTGCTCTGTTGGTGACCAGAATTAGCACTTGATGCTGGGCCTGCTAATGACTGTCCTGTGAGGAAATGAAGTGCTGGAGCTCTCCTAGGAACTCCACTACCAAACTCCTGGCTCCAAACCATGGACAGCTATCAAGATGACTGATTCTTTACGCCTTTGTATGTCACCACAGCTGGGCAGTTCTTCCCACCACACTTCCTTCTACCAAAAAAAATGTCTAGAGGATTTTTTTTCCATTCTGTACCAGCATTAAGTTCTTTTCATGCATCACTTGCCATTGCTTCATTAAAACGAAGACAGCATGCTCACACAGATCTTTTTTAAAAACAAAGGAAGAATGGGAACATACTTGTCGTTGACAAAGGAATACATCAGCAGACGCTCCTCAATGAATTTCTTCCACTCAGGACGCTCGTTCTGCAGGTCCCGATAAGTATCATTAGAAACCACAATGCCATCAGACTCGTGTGCCAGTTTCACAATGAATCGATCATCATAACAGACAACACGCTTGCCTCCAACCCGCCTGGAAGGAGTGAAGACCAGGATTTTCTTCTTCTCAAGGTCACGGAGAATGTACTGGTCTGGAACAAACACAACTGTGAACACACTTACACAGCCCAAAAGCCTTCACACAGATAAAGTAACATCATAAATAAATGACAGAATTCATGTAAAGTCATTTCACCTCTCCACAACCCAGCCTGTATTCTCATCTCTTTTCCTATACTACCCATCAGTCTGTCAGAGGTGGATTCCTAGCCACGGTGCCTGCATGGCACCCAAGAACACTCAGAGCACACCACAAAGGCTGCTGTAATACAGTAACTCCCATCCACATAATCCTTTGCATGCAAAGTGTGATTTGCATTTAAGACTGGCAGGCTAGTATCTTTTGTAGCGCCATACTACATGCATAGATTTCTGAGTAGAGTTACTTACAAATCTCAGCTGTTTGCAAGTTCAGAGCAAACTCCCCTCAAATTGAATAATTCTGACTAAACTCCTACCAAGTTTTAACTTTTAGCATGTAGAAATTCTGTACAGTCTACAGTGTCACATACGTCACAGCCAAATACATAGCATGAAGATGTGTCCCTGAAAGAGGAGAAAAATGCAAGTAATAAGACAAGAAGTTAGGAAGCAGAGTAGCATTACATTCTTTGTTCTCTGAATTATTCCAACTGATCCAGGCAACAACTTGCTTAGGGGAGAAGTTAATGACTAATTCTCACTGGTCAGCTCAGCTTACTGGATCTTACTTAGATCTTCCATTCATAAGTTAATTACTAACTAGCAAGAACTTTGCAAGCTTGTTAAGTGACAAAGCAGTAAGCCTGAAAAGCTACTTTTGGTTTTCATATTTCCACACCTGTTATAAGTACATCTGGTCGTGGCTGCTCCTTCCTCCAAGATGGCACAAAGACTGTAATATCCTTGTGTCCCCTGTCCCAAAACCACTGGACAGCCAGAAGGATACCTCGGCAGGAGAACACTTCTTTATTTCCATGGCTGCATCAAAGAAGAAAATAAAGAATTTCAATATTCAGGTTATGTACAGAGTAGTCAGGCAATACACTAAGCCAACGGGTCCAGCAATTCAGACAACCCTGAGTGAAGAAGTGCTAGAGTAGCACAATCAGTGTGTGTTGCTCATCTCGTGTAAATAGCAGCACTAAGTTCTTCGCAGAATTACTGCTGCTTTTAGCACCTCAGTATACCAATAAATACCTAAATCCTCAGTGGGAGGGAGAAAGCAGCCATAACTGTTGCAGCTGCTCTGAAACAGAGCCCTTGCTTCAGCTCTGGACTCTTGATCTTTATTTTTAGCCCCGAGTACAATGTGATCTTGAACACCCTTTGTCCTGTGCTGCCAGCTAGCACCAGTGGCTAACCTCTGCCAGTGTAAACTGTACCCTCACTAGGTGTTTTGCTTGTAACGTTAAGGACAACGACATTTTATGTACTCAAGGACATCATCACTGATGAAAGATGCTTCTTCATTATATTATGGCCCAGAAAGTCAGTTACAAACGCACTATTTGCACAAAACAGCAACACTTCCTGCTAGCAGGATCAGTGCTGAATGTCTTAACAGCACTTGGCAGTTTCAGAACAAAGTTTGACAACAGCATCAGAAGCTACATACCAACGCAAAAAGCTGCTGCTTAGCTATTCATTAGGTCACACCAATAAGTTTCCAGAACCTCTAAGAGGAAACTACCACTCCCGGCTTACGAGTGCCAGTATTTACAGTGTAATCAGCTCTTCTGTTGATAATGGTTCTGGCAAACTTTCAACATTTCTGTATTACTGCCCAATTTGTCATTCTGGGGAACCTAACAGCCTGCGTTGCAGGATGACACTCTGGTAAGATATACTACACTGAAGATAACTGGTCTGGTAATTCAGTAAGATTTTCCCCACCTGGGCACTACCCCACCCCAAATCCAACTCCTCCCATTTACACTTGAATGTCATTTCCACTCCCACCACCACCTGGCATGCTAGTGAACTCCTCCATGAAGTAATTACTGAAGACCTTACACCCCAGCAGAGGCACTGCCAAGAAGTGCTGTTACTGTAGTACAGCCGTACCACTAGAAAGAAACTTCGTTTCTCCTCCTGTCCTCACCCTTCTCTGAAGCTATTAAGAAAGCGGAAGAGTTGGACCAAAATTATTCTTCTGTAAGAACTACACCTTTAACACCAAAACTAACACCTAAAGAGACGCCTAACACATCTTCATTAAGAATCCCAAGTTGCAGAAAGGCTGACATTAACAATCAGAAGAAAGATGCTCTAAAAGTTTTCTCCAGTGTCAGACTGGGTTTGCTACAGATAGCCAGATACAGGCTACTACAGTATTTTAGAGATAAATGAGAAAAGCAGAGATTTTTTGAGTCCCTGCTACCAATCTCAAATCTACAGAAGGTAGCTAGTTGGGCTGATCTGATTTGGCAGCAGCCAAGAAAAAATTCCCTTAGAAGGAAGTAAAAGCTAATTTCCACTATGATTTGCATATGTTTGTCAAGAGCTGTTCAGGGAGGCCGCTGTACACACTGCAAATGAATCAGCAGGGAACATCACACCATCAATACAGGAAGTTTCAGAATGGAATTCCCCTTCTAGCAAATTGCTTAAAAAAAGCCAGACTGCTTTTCTCATGTCAAACTCTTGTCCTATCGTCAGCGTTCTACTGCCTGGCCTGCCCTGAGTCACACTTGCTGTGATCTCTCCTGCACTTTTTGGGATAACTCTCATAGGTAAGAGGCTCCTCATTCACAAAACACAACCAATTCTGTCGCTTAAGCCTGAGCACTTACCTAAGGTAAACTTCACTGCAAGAGTCACGCTTATCAGCCCAGGTCTCACAATGGGCCATTTTCCTCAAGTGGCTGCACAGCTGCTGGAGAGCCACAGCAACAGGACTGTGCCCTCCTGCAGATGCCCAGGTCACATCTTTTATTCTCTGGGCCCGCTTGGTTGCCATCAGAATTCCTTATTCGCCCTGGGATTCACAGGCTCTGTTCGTCGGTCACACAGCAGACTGTACCCCATCTTTTCTCAGTCCTGTTCTCAGAACTGTCAACCACAGCTTAGAGAAAACCACACCTGCAAACGTATCTCCACTCAGCACTTTCACCTTAGACAAAGTCTACAGTAATGCATGCAGCAGCTCTGTGTGCACCCTGTTGGTTGTTGATTTTTATAAAAAGGTCTGTGTACACAGACACGCATTACAAGATCTATTAAGCTAACACACAGAGAAGGAGGCCTGCTTTTGAACGGCAATGACGAAGCCCAATTCGGAAACCTGGTGCATTAAATTAATGGAGCCCAGACCCCGCCGTGTAGAGGTGGGGAGCGCAGCACCAGGGGTTGGGGCAGGCAACGCTCACCATCGTGGGGAGCAAAAGCCAAGGTGAAAGGAGGGACATCAGGCCACTAAATCCCCAGCCCAGAGATTCTGGGTGCTCGGGGGATATGAGGGCTCCTGCGCTCCCAAGTTACCGTTCCAACCCAGGCGGCTTCGCGGGCTGCCTCCGGTTGCGGTACCCGACAGGACCTGCGCCATCAGCACCAGAACACCTGGGACGCCGAGGGCGAGTCGCAGCCCTGCCTTGGTGACACCATCTGCTAGAGTCCCCCTTTGGCATCCCATCCGTTCTCTACATTGTACGGAAATTTAACCAAGGTACAAGAGTCACAATTTGGAGACTGGTCTCCAATGCAGGAGACAGCTCCGTATTATAAAGTCTTCTCTAATTAAACCTGCAATTATTTATTGAGCAACTTCCTGCTACAGAAACTTACATAAAGCCATTAGGTAAGAGGACAACGTATCCTCAGTACCCTCCTCATAAGCTAGAAGGAAATGTCTTTATTTGCCAGCAAGCACACCCGCTCTCGTCGGAGCCCTGTGCCCACTGGCTATGGGCTGGCAGAGCCCCGGGGCGGGAGGGGCCACCGAGGCAGGCTGCACCTGCAAACGCGATGCTCATCCTCGCAAGAGCTATGCGCGCTGGTGAGGTGCCTT